TGCACATTTTGTTTGTTTGCTTTTGAAGAAATGGAATTAGAGGTTTCTTAAATTTTGTGAGTCATAGCTCTAAAGAATATGTTCCATCTCTGTTCTATTTGTAAAATAGGAGCTCCTAGGCTCATGATAGAAAAATAGAATCCTAGATGCTATGCTGAGTTTTAACATAACTGTATTTCTTTCTTCTTTCTTTACCTTTTACCCAGCAGTAGATAATTATAAAGAGAACCAGGTAAATTATAAACAAAATGAATAAAGAATGATTTTCTTTGCAATTTGACTACAATTAAACACCAATAAACAATTTTCTGGCTGAGATATAAAAGGACATTCGAGATCTTTGTTCTCATGGTAATACCAAAAAAAAAAATAGATGTTATAAAACTTGTACTTATCTATGAAACTATTAAGGAGAGGTAGATGCAAGAAAATCCAAGATGGACTGACTTTTCAAAGAAGAGAGACCTTTATACATGACTATAAGCAGTGGCAGTTATTGGAGACAACAGTGGAGGAGAAAGCCTGCCAAGCCTGAGATAGATGAGAGATTGGCAATGGTGGGTACAGACTGGAGAGATTGGAGTCTAGAAGACTCTCAAATGAAGCAACAATTTACTTGAACTGACAATGCTCCCTGGTTCCCTACTCCTTTTTGCTGAGAAAGAGGTAGAGATACTGGGGCTAGTCTGGAGAGTACATGAGACTATACTCTAGTACATGAGAATATACTGTAGTCTCATGTATTCTCATGGAGCCTGGAATCAAAGGGCTCTTCTATGACTTATTTGAAAGATGAAACTGAGGTCTACCTCTCACCAGGCTTCAGGATTAAGTATTGATAAGATAAAAGAAATTAGACTTGGACAGAAAGAGCTGTGGCACTTGGAGGAAGGTTAAATAGAGATGAGGTCAATTTAAATAAATGAAGCCTAGGCCAAGATTAACATCATATCTGGTGAAATCTGAATAACCACCTTCTGTCTTTTGCAGTCTTGAACAGGAAAGAGATTGCACACTCTTGGAAATAAAAACAAAGCAAAAGAGTTGTATAATTAAATCTCCACTGTTATCTACATATTAAATCCATAGATCATAAATCGTTGTGAGATATGTGAGGAAAATGTGACAGAAAATGCAAATTAAAGGAATAGACTCATAGATAACCCAGATATTAGAACTAGCAGAAAAGGAGGTTAAAACTAGTATTATAAATATATGTGGCCTGTGGCATTGCCTTGGGTTAGCTCTGTCCCTCAAGCAAAGATCGCTGCTCCTCTCTAAGTTGCTGACTCTATATGATTTTCTCTTTCCAGCTTCCAGTAATGACTCCCTTTACTTGGCCTTTAAGGCCTAAATGAGGTGATAGCTCTGTTGCTACTAGCTCCAGGTTACTTCATTTGAGGTTCCCCTACACTTTGTAAATAATCCTTTTATAAATAAAACCTCTTTCCATTTTCCAGAAATATATATATTCTGAAATTTATAAGTAAAAATAAAAAATGGGTGAACATATGGGCAATCTCATAGAATATATGAAAACAAAACATACAAAAGTCATAAAACGTGTTCTGAAAACAAAAACATACTGGATGAACTCAACAGAATAAACATTGCAGAATAAAAAGTTAGTGAAAAAAAGAGGAGGATTGGTGGTCGATATTAGCTTAGGGCTAATCTTCCTCAAAAAAGCCCAAAAAACAAAAAACTATCCTTCAGAAATTAAGATAAAATAAAGATATTTTTCTGATAAGTAATACCTGTGAGGATTTGTTGCCTGTAGGCCTATTAAGAAATGTTACAGTAAGTCCTTCAGGAGAAAGAGAAATGATGCAAGTTGTAAACTCAGGAATACAAGAAGGACAAAAGAGATCTAGGAACAGTAAAAAAGATGAATATTTCATAATGAAAACATGCCCAGTTCATAAAGAATGCATAAAAATCCTAACTATCAATGCATCAAAGAAAAGAATTTCAAAATTCATTGTGGAAAGATCTTTAGAATCAAAGGGAGAAATAAACAAGTTACAATCGCGATTAGAGATTTTAACACAACTTTTCTTAGCAACTGATGACATAAGTGAATAAAACATGAATAACGATGTAGAAAACTTGAACAACACTATAACATGAGCTAATATACATCTATAGAACATTGCACCTTACAAATCCTGAATATATGTTTTTTTCCAGCACACATGAAACATGTATTGTGGTAGACCATATGCTAGGCCATAAAGAGGTCTCAATAAATATCATAGGATTGTAATCACTCAGTATATTCTCTGACCACAGTGGAATTGAATTTGGAATCAATACCAAGAAGACTTAGAAAATATCCAAATATTTGAAAATTAAGTAGCATATTTCTAAATAATTCATGAATTAATGAAAGAGTCAAAAGAGAGATTAGAAAATATTTTGAACCAAATGATAATGAAAACAAAGCATATCAAAATATATTAAGTACTTCAAAAGTGATATAAAGCTAAGAGAAACCCCAGAGTTCAAATGCTTATATTAAACAATGATGGGGTTCAGGGCAGGCCGCCCCAAGATGAGCCACTCTGGTATGTGGACTATTTCAAGCTGAAGACAATAAAAGCTCAGACTCAGCAAGAACATTCAACCTTTTCCCCTCTAACCGCCTAAAAGAAATTTAAAATAAAGGTCTGTCCCCAGGAGGGGCCATCACCATAGATAATTTTGGGTTCCGGTAGACTGGGAGGATCTTTGCTAAGCCCACTCTTCTTAAAGTTCTATTTACCAGAGATTTGCTTTTCCATTTCCATGTGGGTTGCCTTCCTCCCCTTTGAAGACCCAAACCACTACCCCAAATGTCCTCCCTGTCTGTAGCTGGAGGTACTGAAACAAGTTGCCTTGGCCAGCTGGCTGAGTCACCCAGGTTACCTGAACCTCTCCCATGTATACATGTTACAAAGCTTTGTTTAATTTTCTCCTGTTATTCTGTCTCATGTGAATTTAATTTATTGTCCAGTCAGGACGATCCAGAGTGGGTAGAGGAAACGTCTTCCTCCCCTATAATAGCAACAGTTTTGATAATTTAAAATCAGTGATCTAAGCTTCCACCTTAAGAAGCAACACGAAAAGAACAAAGCAAACCCAGTATAAGTAGAGAATCATAATAAAAATAGAGAAATAAAACAGGAAACAGAGAAAATAAAAAAGCCAAATGTTTGTTTTTGAAAAGATTAATAAAATTGATGGATCCTTAGCCAGAATGATCAACGAAAAACAGAAAAAAACAAATTATCAGTATTAAGAATACAGAAGGGACATTACCACAGATTCTATTATTAAAGGGATGAGATGAGACTATTATGAAAAACTTTGTGCTAATACATTCAGAAATGTAGATTAAAAGCAACAAGTTCCTTAAGAAACACAGTTTACTGTAACTGAGATAAGAAGAGAATATATGAATAATTCTGTATCAATAATAGATTGTTATTAATATAATAAATGTTAACTATTAAAAATAAATATTAACAAATAATTAAAGATTTGTTATTAAAACCCCTCCCAGAAGGAAAACTCCTGGCTCAGAAGAATTGTTGAATTCAATCAGCATTTGAGGAAAGAGAAATACCAATCTTACTTAAAATCTTTCAGAAAACAGGAGAAGGCAAAGATTCTCAATGTGCTTTAAGAGGGCAGCCTATCCCTAACTCTAAAAACTTACAAAGAAATTACAAGACAAGAAAATTATGCACCAGCATTTCTTAAGCACTTAGACACAAAAATCCTTAACTAAAATGAATAAAATCTAGCAGTGTGTAAAAAGCCTATTACATGATGACCATATGGGGTTTTTCCAGATAAAGAAGATTGGCATAATATTTGAAAATCAAATATATTATAATTGACCGTGTTAGCAGAATACAGGAGAAAAATCATATTATTATCTCAAGAGATACAGATAAAACATTTGAAACATTCAATGCCTCTTCGTGACTAAAACTCCCAGTAAACTAGGAATAAGAGGGAATTTTCCCAATTTGATAAAGGGCATCAACAAAATCTTACAGCTAACATCATACTAACTGGTGACATTACAGGCTTATTATTTTTAAGATTGGGAGCAAGCTAAGGCTGTCTGTGGTCGCTATTTGTATTCAGCATTGTACTAGATGTCCCAATTTTATTAATTAAGAATTATGACAAAAGAAAGACATTAGAGCCATATAAATTGTAAGACAAGCAGCCTCCCTCTCTTTATTTGTGGGTGATGTGATACTTTCTGAGACCATTTACTGAAGTGCTAATGCTCTTTTCTCAGTCCAGGACCTGCATAGTTAGTATACAGTTTGCAAAATTGTGGGAGAACCAATTTAGCAATATAATAAATAATCTGAGAAAAAGGAAAATCATACAACATCTCATTAAATTGCATCAATGAGCTAAACTATTTTTGCTTTATTTAAATTTTTAAATAAATATGAATAGCAGCAAAACCAACACAAAATAAGATTTAAAGTGAATAAAGCCATATATAGTAACATTTAGAGCTGTACAAATCAATCTGGGAAAATTGCAGTTTGGTAGAAATAATGGCTACAAAAGAAAATCTATGAAAGCAAAACTTTACAGGTGTAATCCAACATTTGATTTGCCAATCAGTTTTTACCATGTACAATTTTTTCATACAAAAATTGATACCAATGAATATAATTTTAATTAAATCTAAATAAAATTGAGGAAATATAAATTATTCATTGTTTTAGAATAGTGGAATTAAATTAGATTGATGGAATTTACTTGGTACACTTTCTCAGATATTTTAACTTGAAGATTTAAGTAGAGTGACTTCCAAAAGTTGAGGAAATTAGGATTTTTTTTATTATGAATGCAATATAGAGATCTCATTTAAGGCTGAATATAACTATAGAAAACATATCGGGGAAGCAGCCCAGAGTCACAAAATCCTCCACTTACAGCAAAGTCTTACTACAAAGCTCCCCACATCAATAGAGTTTACTTACAAGCTACCAAATGGAGTTGGCCTGCTCTTCTTAAAATGCTGGATTAAGATAAAGGTCCCAACAGATGAACAGCTGTTACTGCAGGTGACTGTCCACATCAGGCACTGGGTTTTTCATTCAGAATGGAGTGAAACTAAGCAACGTAAAATTTTCAGAGCTGTAACTTGATGCTTGTGAGTGTCTATATTTCACCACTAGGTGTCACTGGAAGTTAAACAGTTTCTGAACAGATTGTGGCGTATTGAAACTTTCCCATGATTGATTCTGTTTATATAGTATATGTTTTTGCTTGTTTGCTCATAAAAACCTGACAGTATCAGAGACCACTTGTGTCCTGCCTCACATCTTCTCAGCCCACCTTTCCCCCAGCCATCGCTAAGGCAACTGGTGACAGAACCTGACTTCTGCTGCACTGCTTATCATTTGCATTTTTGCACAAAGGCTTCCCTCATGATGTGGTTGAGACACCTGTGAGAAGCTGCTTATCACTTGTAGATGCTCAAAACTGCAAGAGTGGGGGAATTAACACCCAACGTGGCGATTATTGACTATGAGGGGCTGGGGATCATGGATATCTGATCCCTCAGTGGACAATACTGAGGCAGGATCTGCATGATTCATCAGAGGGTTCCACTGGGATCAGATCCTGCTTTTGCATAGTGCTGACCACTCTGACAATGCACCACTGTGTTGGCTTTCTCTCCTTTCCTGTTTTGCGCTTCCTAGAGTCCCACTCCTAATGCCTCGTGTCATGTCCCCAAATGAAGTCTTACCTATAAATAGTTTACTCTGAATTTCTCTTCTTTCCTGTTTTAGAGTCTGCTTTCTAGAAGAAATTTAAGCATAATCTACTATCCTGAGAAAGAATATTTTTTTGCATCCAGAAGTCTGCCTCCTGTCCACTTCCCAGTCAACAAACTTTTAAACACAACAATTACTTGCTTCCTCTCATCATAGATTAGTTTTGATTCTGATTTTGAACATGAGTTGCTAGAATTATACAGTAAGCCTTATTTTTCATTCATTCAACATTATTTCTGTGAGATTTATCCATGTTGAAGCACGTAGCAGCAGTCCATTATTTTTAATTTCTCTGTAATATTCCACTGTGTGAATATAGCACGATTTTTCCTTTCTACTGTGGATGGACCTTGAATTGTTCCCGGTTTTTAGCTATTTTGAATAATGCTCTTTTGGTCATTTTTTTCATCTTTTTGTGAATATAAACACTCATTTCTCTTGGGAATATGGAATATGGAAATGGAATAGCTGGGTCACTATTATATACATTTTTACATTTAATAGATACTGGAAAATTAGTTTTCATTGTAGTTATACTAATCTACCTTCCATCTTCTCCACATCATCGCCCATATTTGATATTATTAACACTTTTCATTTTTAGCCATTCTGGTGGGGGTGCAGTGTACCCCTCTGTTGTTTTAGTTATTTCCCTGTTGACTAATGGTACTTAACATATTTTCATATTCTTATTAGCCATTGAGATGCATTCTTTTATGAATTGCCAGTTTAAGTTTTTATCTATTTGTGTGTGTGTGGTATGGGAGCAGGTCAATCTTTTTCTTATTCCTTTGAAGTTTTTATAATTTCTGGATACTATTCCTTTGTTGGATATATGCATTGTGAATGTTTTCAACCAGTTTTTTTTTTTACTTTCTTAAACACTTTCTTAAAGTTGTATTTTGATGAAAAGATTTTTTTTTCCTTTTTCTCCCCAAAGCCCCCCGGTACCTAATTGTATATTTTTAGTTGCGAATCCTTCTAGTTGTGACATGTGGGATGCCGCCTCAACATGGCCTGATGAGTGGTGCCATGTTCTTGCCCAGGATTTGAACCAGTGAAACCCTGGGCCGCTGAATCTGGAGTGCACGAACTTAACCACTCGGCCATGGGGCCAGCCCCTGAAAAGATTTTTTTAATAGAGTACAGTTTATTGATATTTTTCTTCATGGCTACTGTGATCTACTCCTGTAAATTCTTTACTCCTACTCCAAGGTCATGAGATACTCTCCTTAATCTGTGATTCTCAAACTTGAGTGGACATCAGAATCATCCGGAAGGATTTTAAAGCACAGATTGTTGGGACATGCCTGCAGAGTGTCTGATTCTTTGGGTCAGGAAAGAGGTCCAAGAGTTTGTGTTTCTTACAACTTCCAGATGATGCTGACTCTGCTGGTCTGGGGATCCCACTCTGAAAACCACTGTAATATTTTATTTTGAGAAGCTTAACTTTTGACGTTTAGAGCTACAATATACCTGGACCTTATTTTTGTGTGCGATGTGAAATAGGGGTAAAATTTAGTTTTTTGAAATGTTAGTCAATTCACTAATAACACTGAAGAAATTCTTCAAATGCATCTTGTGAAAGAAGGAGAAAAATAAAAATGTTTCTCTTTGGGCTTAATAAAGGAAAATCAAGATTATTTAGACATTTAGAAAACAGAGATGTCAATTTAAACATAAATATTACAGCAATAATTATTAATAGGAAAACAATGCAGAATTACAGAATTTTTGAAAGTTAAAGGTTTACTTTCATAGGCCATAGCAACAGTCTCCAAAGTTAAGACGTCTATGAGACACTTCCGTTAAAAAAAAAAAACAAAAAAACACACATTAGAAAGTCAAAAAGATTTTGAGAAGTGAAAGAAGTGAAATTAAGACTTTTGAAAATTGAAAATATCCAGGGTTATGAGCTGAATTATTTCTCCCTAAAATTCATATGTTGAGCTCTAACCCCCGTATCTCAAAATGTGACTATATTTGGAGATAGGGCCTTTAAAGTGGCAATTAAATTAAAATGATGCCTTTAGGTTGGGCCCGGACCCAATCTGAATGGTATCCTTATAAGAAGAGGAAAATTGGACACACAAAGAGACACCAGGGCTGCATGTGCACAGAGGAAAGATGATGTGAGGATACGGCGAGATGATGGACATCTACAAGCCAAAGAGAGAGGCCTCAGGAGAAACTACACCTGCTGACACCTTGATCTTCGACTTCTGGCCTCTAGAACCATGAGAAATAAATTTTTGTTATTTGATTCACCCAGTCTGTGGTTCTTTGTTATGGCAACGCTAGCAAACTAATGCACCCGATGTTGGCAATGTCTTCTAGGTGATTAGTTATTAAGCAAGGTAGCAAAGTAGACAAGCATATAACAGGCATTGCAGGATAATAATTAAACATTTAGGGAGCATTTTCAGACCATAGGGAAAGTCAAAGTTTTCTTAAAATAATTTTTATAGGAGCTGGCCTGCTGACACAGCAGTTAAGTGCCCACGTTCCACTTTGGCAGCCCGGGGTTCTGCGGTTTGGATCCTGGGTGCAGACATGGCACTGCTGGGCACACCATGCTGTGGCAGGCATCCCACATATAAAGTAGAGGAAGATGGGCATGGATGTTAGCTCAGGGCCAGTCTTCCTCAGTGAGAAGAGGAGGATTGGCAGCAGTTAGCTCAGGGCTAATCTTCCTCAAAAAAAAAAAAAAAACAACAAAAAGTTTTGTAGACGATGCTCTTAAAGGAACTTTGAGTAACCACATAGAAAAGAGTGTCTTTATCTACTTTCTAACTGATATAAGGGCCCTGACAAAATAAACCAGAAAAAAAGCAATATTTAATGAAATTTTTCTAAGAGGCACCTACCAGTTGTGTTAATTATTGCCCTTACTTTCTAGTGATTGCTAGAACAGGTGAGACCTATTAAGTAGTATGGCCAAGAGAATGTTCTCTGACTGTCCAAGAATTCTCATCAGCTTCTTATTGAGCAGTTAGAAGTTGATATCTAACACACAAGGTGGTATGTATGGTGCTTATTATATATTCAGTTTCAATCCTTTTTGATATCTTCATAAATTTCTGAATTAAAAACCACTTGGGTGGCCAGCCCAGTGGCATAGTGGTTGGGTTTGTGCATTCCACTTCAGCAGCCTGGATCTCACAGGTTCAGACCCTGAGCAAGGACCTGCATGCCGCTTGTAAGGCCATGCTTCAGTGGCATCCTGTATACAAAGTTTAGGAAGATTGGCACAGATGTTAGCTCAGGGACCATCTTCCTCAAGCAAAAAATAGGAAGATTGATAACAGATGTTAGCTCAGGGCCAATCTTTACCACCAAAAAAAAAAAACCCACTTGAAATATTCTCATGGATATATAGTCTCACAGCTTTGGTCTTACCTGATTATTGCAGAAAATACTCTCATGCTTAGAATGAGTAAGGCCATAAGAAGTACAAACACAGATAGAACAGATTTAATGAGGCTGATTCAATCTCTGTGCTTTCTCTCTCAAGAGAATTATCGCACTCTACATTTATGGTTGGTTATGTTTCATTCTCTAGAGTTTGAACTTCTATCATTCTACTCTTTGTAATCTTAGGGTTCAGCAAGCCCTTGGAATTTAGTAGACATTAATGGAATTGTTCACTTAAGAAATAACTGAAAGCTAAGAAAAAGGAGCTTTGCTTTAATTTACATTAATTAATTGATTTGCTTTGATTTATATTTTGTTACCTACATCTTTGAATTGCTTTCTTCACTATGAAAAATAAAAATTGTATTTCAAACTCATTAATTTGCTTTGAAGCTTTTCTCTTTTTTGAATCTAAAGATTTATGCCTTTCATTCATTTTGGAAAATTCTCAGCCTCATTTCTTTAAATATTTCCTCTTGTCATTCTGTGTTTTGTCTCCTAATGAAATTTATATTGGGCTTATACTGGATTTAATTTTAATCTTCATATCTCTTGACTTATTTTTTCATTTTCAGCAGCTCTTTAGCTCTGTATTGCATTATCAGAAATTCTTCAGATCTCCCAATTTAGAAATATTTTTAAATTACTTTATTTGTTGCTTAATCCACTTGTTGAGTTTTTAATTGCAATGATCAGATTTTTTTTAAATTTCTTAATTCTGAATTTTCTACTGAAAAAACCTTCCTGGTATTTTTTCATTGTGTCTCTTTTATTCTGGTATTATTTCTTTTTATATCTTTAAACTTTAAAATATAACTTCCTCTATGTGTGATTTCTTGAGGGTTTAACCTATTATTTGTTTGCCATCTCTCCTTCATGATGAATTATTTCTCTTTCTGTTCTCTAACTTTGGATTGTGGCCTCATATTCAGAGAGACTTTATGTGTGGGAATCCTTTGCAGTTTGTCTTGAGGGTGCTTCTCTTGAGATTAACTTTCTTTAAATTTCACCAAGTTTCACAGAGGTATTACAGACTTAGAGTCACCTTCTATTCTAATTTATTAGATTGCATATTCCACAATCACACAAGTAGAATATTTTCAAACTACAATTTCATACTTGTGATTAATAATTCTCAGAATGAAAAACAAA